GAGGGGGTTTAACTTCACTCCACACCCAGGCCACCAAAATCTTTACCACCCCCACAACCAACCAAATCCATTCCAGCCACACAACAGCGGCACGAACGGCCACCACCACCACAACCACCACCACCACCACCATCAAAATGCTCTCATGCCACATCTACTTCTTCAAAACCCCCACCACCCGCACCATCCATCCATCCATCACCATCCTCATCCATCGCTTCACCATCCCGTTGCCATGGTTACGGATCAGTTGATGATGGGGAACGGAAGTGGAGTGATCGGTGGCGTGCTGGGGGGAGGAGGAGGGGGTGGGGGCGTCATGGGCGGATTATCGAACAACGGAGTGAACGGCAACGGAGCGGTGGCCACAGAATGCGACACGCGTGAGTTGGAAGCCTTCGCCGAGCACTTCAAACAACGCCGCATAAAGATCGGAGTCACTCAGGCAGACGTCGGATCGGCTCTCGGCAAATTGAAAATCCCGGGAGTCGGATCACTCAGCCAGAGTACGATTTGTCGCTTCGAATCCCTGACTCTCAGCCACAACAACATGGTCGCCCTCAAGCCAGTTCTGCAAGCCTGGCTGGAAGAAGCCGAAAAATCAGCTCGCGAAACTCGATTGAGGACGGAATTATTTGGCGCAAACGGCGGCGTCGGAATGGGCGGATTGTTAGCGGATAAAAAGCGGAAGCGGACGAGTATAGCCGCTCCGGAAAAACGATCTCTCGAGGCATATTTCGCTATCCAGCCGCGGCCTTCTGGTGAGAAAATAGCTCAGATAGCCGATAAATTGGATCTGAAGAAGAACGTAGTCAGAGTTTGGTTCTGCAATCAGCGGCAGAAACAGAAGAGGATGAAGTTCTCGGCGGCTGGCATCCAAGGAGGACATTGACCTTCCCGACCGCAAACGGGATTTGCTGAGAATTTTACTTTCTTTGTAAACTAAGGCGCTATATAAATTAATTTAGTTGATTGATTGGTTGGTTGGATGGATGGTTGATTGAATGACTTTTGAAGTTATTCAGATACATTTTCCGAAAGTGAGATTCGATTGGGGCCATCAAAGATTTATAATTTTAATATTAGTTAATATATATTATTTATTCGCGATTATTATTATAAATTGTAATAATTTAAAATTTAAAAAAATTTTAATTTACATTTTATCGCACGAATTATTGACAATTGTTAAATTGTTTACAGTCATTCTTTCATTTCTTAATTAATTCATTAATTAATTCATTCAATCAATCATTCATTCATTCATTCTATTTTCTTTGTTTTCTTTTAATAATTTCTCCAGTCAAACATTCCGTAACAGCTATTTTTTTCATTAGCGTATTAGCCAAGACATTATTTTAAAAGCTAGTCACACGTAAAATACACACACGCACAGACACACACGCACAGACACAAACACACACACGCAAACACACACACACACATACATTTAAACACGCTCATACATTCATTCGTATTTACATGTTTTTGTTAATTCTTTGATTGGTTCTTTAACCAACTTTTCTTACCATAACACACAAGCATCCACTAAATACTCTTGTTCATAAAAATAATGATGATAATATTATTATTATTATTTTATTATCATATCTAAATATGATTAATATTTTTGTTGAAAATTATAAATAATAAACTGTTGAAAATGTTTGTACTAGATATATATATATATATATATATATATATATATATATATATATATATATATGTGTGTGTGTGTGTGTGTGTGTGTGTGTGTGTGGGTACGTGTGTGATCAAAATGAATAAAAATTCGTAATAGATGACGAACGCACGACTAAACAAACTCAAACACACAAACAAACGAACAAACACTCAGACAAACAAACAAACACACAATTAAACATGTAAACAAACAAACAAACATTTCCCCCGTAAAATATTCTTGTTAGTCCGATGACAGAAGAAAAAAAAGAAAACTTCTATTAAAGTCACAAAGACAATCCCTACTTTAAATTTTTTTAATCCTACTCTTTGCTTTTCCTATTTTTCTCCTCTCTCTCTCTTTCATCTCTCTCTCTCTCTCTCTCTAAATATATCTTTTTCTCTCTTTCGCTTTCTTCCTTCTTTCCTCTCGCTCTCTTTTTCTTCATTTTACTCTAGTTATTTTGTTTCTATCGCGCTTCTATATTTACAATTTTGTTCTTTTTTGAAGTTTCTGTCTCTCTCTTTTTCTCTCTTTCTGTCTCTCTCTTTCTTTCTCTCCCTCTATCCTTATTTTTTATTTTTTATTCTTTCTTTACGTTCCTTTCTTTGACTTTCATCATCTATTTTTCCAATTTAATTTTTTTCTAGATTTTATAATCTGGAATGTGTGTGAGTACATTTTTTCCAACTTTCAAAATTTATTTCACACTTTTTCTCACAATTTTTTATCTATCCTTCTCTCTCTCTCTCTCCTCTCTCTCTTTCTGATACTTCCTTCATTGCTCCCTTCTCTCTTTTTTCTCTCTTTCTCTCTCTCTCTCACTCTCTCACTGGCTTTCGTTCACATTGGCGCGTTCCGTCATTAAAAATTCATCCGCTGAGATATGGAACTGCAAAAGAGCAAAAAAAAAAGAAGAAAGGAAGATGGTGAATGAATGAATGAACAAATAAATGAATGAACAAATAAATGAATAAACGATAGAATGAATGAATGAACAAATGAATGAATGAAAGAATGAATGAATGATTTGGTGATTGTATGAAATTAAAAAATATTAAAAAACTGGAAAAAATATTATAAAGTAATGAGAAAACGAAAGAACGAACAAACAAACCAACGGACGAACAAAGTGATAAATAAATTATCCTCCTCCTCATCATCATACCCATCATCACCATCATCATCATTTTCACTCATCACTCCATGAGCACTGCCATAAAACACCAGACTTGAAAATATAGATGAGGAAGGGCAGAAAAAAAACTAATAAAGACAAATTCTACCTACACTACAAACATACGCACATAGACATACAAACAAACAAACAAACAAACAAAACAAACAAACAATCAAACAAACAAACAAGCATACGTACATATACAAACACACATATAAAAACATACATACAAATTGCAAACAACCAACCAACCTACATGAGTGTCGAAATCAACGATGTGCACTAAAATCAAAATTCTAAAAAAGCACAAATATATCTAGAGACTTTTTTAAAGTAAGAAGAATGTATGTGTATGTGTGTGTGTGTATGTATGTACGTACGTATGTATGTAGAAATTCGAACATAGAGCGTTCAGCGAAAGTCTTCTGAAGAAGAGTTTCCGTCAACGAGTGTTTCGACCCTTCAACTTCCTGACACTCTCGAGAAGAAACAGGGCCACATCTACAGATTTGTTGATTGTTTCTTGCCGAGCAAACAATTTGCCTCGCTTTGAAATCACCTTCTTTCATACTGAAAATTATTCAGGTGTGCCAGACAGTTCACATATAAACACATCACGATGTGAGCTATATCGACGAGCCAAGTAACACGCTAAGCCGAATCTGGGAGTGTTGAGTAATTGGAAGCCTTACTTACGTTGCACACGAGCTCGTCTGTTAACCATTTAAACTCGCATTCCTTTTTCTTCCTACATAACCATCTTCAGTTAGACGCTCTTTCGGCTGTACGTCCTCCTATGTTCCTCATACAACTCGATCGTCTTCTACCTGCCAAACCCAAATCCTTCAAAAAGCTGTACACTGAACAGCCAACAACACCTCTTGCACCGACCTCAACTGCGTACAACAAACAGCTTAACTCACGTTGTTCTATCTCACTAACAAGCTCTCTTCCTACCTGGCTGTTTCTATAGCGTGACTTGCCGCTATACCGACTGTACCACCACACCGAGTCTCGCTCCTGTATCTTTTATGATGGGAAAATTCCTCATGCCCTCCAAATCAGCCTCCAAGACATCTTTGCCGTTATCAAACATACTTCTTCGGTTGCAAGTCTCACTTCTCGTGGTTTGATCCAAAACACCCTCTCCAAGCAACCTACATAAGTACCGAATCCAGAAGTGAACGCAACCAAATGGAAATTCTTAAAAAGATAAAATATATCTAAAGATTTATTTTATAAAGTGAGAAAAATGAATGTATGTATGTACGTACGTATGTATGTTTGCTTGTATTTGGTAAGATACAGCAGCAGCAGCAACAACAACAACAATAACATCAACAACGGCACAACTTGATAGTAAGCAGAGCGACAAAATCATATATGACGGATATGACGGAATCATCTCGAGAAACACCTGCTTCTACAACCACTGCCTGCCACTGCAACTACTACTACTACTACAACGACCAACTACACCAACTACTGCTGCTGCTGCAGCGTCTAATTTTATACAACTACTACTATTACTACTCCTCTATTACAACTACTAATATTGGTGTGCTGACGTAACTAACACTTTCTCTCACGTACAAACAAACATCAATACACCTACATACGCACATACACACACATACACACACATATTAAGCAAGCATTTATGATCTTTGGTTACGTTGCAGGTGTTTCCGGATGACCTCGTGACCTCTATGACGTAACCAATTATCCGGCGCTGCATACAGTTTTTTAGAATAAATAAATGAATGAATGAATGTATGGATGAATGAATTAATGGATGAATGGATGTATGAATGGATGAATGAATAAATAAATGAATGAACAAATGAATGAATGAATGAACGAATGAATGAACGAATGAATGAATGAATGAATGAATGAATGAATGAATGAATGAATGAAGGAAAAAAACAGTTTGATGAAAAACTTTCCGTAACATTGTTTTCAACAAAAAAGTTAAAAAAATGATTAAAATGTTAAAAAAGCTCCTAAATATCATCATCATCATCATTATCATCATCATCATCATCACCACCATAACCACCATCATCGTCATCACCATAATCATCATCATCATCGTCGTCATCACCATCATCATCATTGAATAGGAAAGAAATACAAA